CATCTGGTAGCGAGCGTAGCGAGGCCACTCCCCCGCAAGCGAGCATTTGCTCTGGAGCAAATTTAACCCAGCTGCATTCACACGTGCACATTTGTTCCAGCGTAGCGTCGCAAACGAGCATTTGCTCTGGAGCAAATTTTTAAACCACCTCCCTGAGGTGGATCAAATTTGGTCCGGTATAAGCTCTTTAGTGGAGGTACATCGGAGCAAATGTGCACGTGTGAATGCTCAACTGGATCAGTTTCGGCGCAGCGTCGGACCAAACGTTGCCGTGTGAACGGGGCTTTAGTGTTTGTTTTCAAAATTTAGCTTGTAGTAGATGTGTGCACATTTTCAGCATGACATCCCTGATCCACTGGTGAAAGGACACTTTGATTCGCTCCTCTTTCTCAACTCAACTCAACTCAACTGTATTTATAGAGCACTTTCAAACAGCCATCGCTGCATACAAAGTGCTGTACATGGAGCAATTCAACATATACAACAAACAGTAAAGCAAATCGGTAATAAAGATGGTAGAAAGCACCGAACAGCAAAACCAAGAACTTTCATCTATAACTGCTTCAATCAACAAGGTGTATGCAGAAAAAGTGATTAAGATTAGACGACTGTCTGTGTCTTATGTGTTGTGTTGTATTATTTTGTCATTTTATATTAACTGTTCTTTTGATGGCGGCGCGGGCACCCGCAGCGGCTCCTCTCTCTCCTGAGGAATGTAATTTCATCTGTGCTGTATGTTGCACCTGGAGCACATTTGACAATAAAGTTGACTTGACTATAAACCAAAATAGACAATCGATCCAAACACAGGCAAAAGTGTTGAAAGCGAGACCCTGTCCAGCCTCGTATTTTTTGAGGATGGCTGCTTAAAGCGACATCTATGAGTACAGTGGTACCTCTGCTAAGGACATTAATTGGTTCTGGAAGAATTTTTTTTTTAACTAGAAAATAATAAGTAGTAAGTAGAGACGCGTTTTCCATGTCAATGCCCTAATCCATTCCAAGTACCCCCAAAATTCTGACATAAATGTATCTTAACCCTGGAGAACCCACGGAGTCCAATTTGGCCCCTATAAATTCTGCTATTCAAATGCTACCCTTAAATCCCAAAGGGTCAAATTTGGCCCTCATCCTAAATTTGGATTAAAGCATTAAATATTTGAAAAAAACATATTTTGGTGTTCAATGAACATATAGCAGTCATTTCATGTATAATTCATCATTTTCCAAAGAAGAAAAGGGTTCTTGGGTTCTCCAGGGTTTTAAAGTATAAAAATATGTAATAAATACATGTTACAATTAGATTATTGCACAATAAATGAGAATTGTGCATAAGGTGAAAAACAAACAATAAAGAATAAAAATAATGGTCATTTAACTTTTAACAGCGTCCTCGTCATTTTTTGCCCTCTTTAGTCCAAGGATGTTTGCTTTTGTCAGCTTTTAACAATCCTTCGAAAATGTCCAAGGCAAACATCAGCATAGTGAGCGATCGCCCAACTGGTGAAATTTTTTTCTTGGTGATTCAGATTTCTGTAAAACACTCGGAACCCCTCATTTCCCGAGGGGCGAATGACGAGGGCGCTGCATAGACACATATCTATCTATTTATCTATTTACACACATAGATACCTTCGGTAGAGGTCCCTGTGAGCCAGGAAGATGCTCGGTAGTAGCCAATGACAGAGGAGCTATAAGTATGTTGCGTTCAGGAAACTCGGAGCTGCCAGTAGCAGCCCATACTGTATTTTAACTTTTCGTGTCTTGAAATTTATTTCAAAACAAGGGGCAATAATTCTCATTTTGAGGCATTTCATAACTTGAAATTTCGTATGAAGAGACGTTCGAAAGTAGAGGTACCACTGTTTGAGTGCCATTCTTATGTGATGAAACTATAATCCGACCTCCATAAGGATAATTGTTCATATTGAAATGTCTAAGCACTCGTTCATATGCTGGAGCTGCTCATCCAGAGTTAATCATCATTCATCTTGTTGTCAACTGGGTGAACATTAACCAGGTTGAGAGGTGGTAGAGCTGCAATGTTGTCTGTCCTGAGCCAGGGCTAGGAAGCCACTTTGGCGACTCGATTAGCATCTTACCATCTCAGCTGATGTCTTGTCTGCTTTCACTGAGTCGAATCAGTCAGCATTGTGAAAGCGCTCAGAACAATAACCCATCTCTCAATTTTCTTGTGGTTTTTTTGATTGATTGGCTTGGAGTGTTGTAAATGACTACAGATAAGACTATTTCTGGGTCTTGAGTGTCACATTCAGAAGAAATTGATTTTCCAAGTCAACTCAGTCCGCGCTTTACCTTCCTGAGGTCTTCCTTTTCCTCCTCATACTCTTCTGCGTAGTACAGCATGTCATCAGAAATCACACAGTAGTGCTTGTTCCAGCGCTGAAAAAGACATGCACAATAATGTTCAAACCCAAATGCTCACGTTGATTGCATTGATTCTGACTGTTCATACTGGCACATCAGGCTCAAACTCCTTAAAGCTCATAAAATTGGAGATTTGCCCCAAATTTGACATCGACGCGAGTGGAAAATGTGCGCTGGCAGCATGTCATGCAAGACGTCATGTGTGACGTGCATCAGCGAGATGCGGTGGATACTCGGTTGTCTTTACCTTGAAGAGCATTTAAACAGCGTTTGTTTGAAACTGTTTACATTGGTTTTCGACTGGTCAACTTCCACTTGTACTTGAATGACAAAAAATATTTTTGACTTAAAATGTTGCCTGTGCACAATGTACAGTTAATTAAGGTATCATGCTGCAGGCATATAAAAAAAAAAAAAAAACAATGAAAACCTACCTCTTAATTTGGTTTCTGTAGGAGGACGAACATGACACAAACATTCTTAACATTTTCCAATGCTGTAAAAATGTGTAAAATAAATATTACATTTCAACATTTCTGTCAACGATGATTTACGTTACAGCCAACGACACACATTTCTATTAGCAGGGCAGGATGTCAGGTAGGTGGCTGTTGTTATTTTTATTTTTTTTTTTATTTATTTATTTTTTTTTTTTAAAGGCCTTTCATGTACAATTCACCGAGGGTACTGGCAAAGAATGGGAATCTGGAGGGCCGAGAGAAGCATTTTAAAACGGTACACGAGAGGTACGATACTTAAGTGCCTCCCATGCCTCCGCGTCAGGTCTCGACGAGGGTAGGCAGTGATTTTTACAAACTCGTGTGTCTAACTTTATTTTTCTGTTTCGTTCATCTGAGCAGCTATTGTGGCTGTTGCTCACGATGGCATGCGTGTGTAAGTGCGTGTTAAATGATCCCTAGTTGTTGGAGAAATGCCAGTCGACTTCCGGACTAGTATTGAGGTGCCCACAGCCAGGCTCAAGAGTCACAGGATTGTTTGTGCACCCCTTTCACTCGGAGATCCTTCCTTGTATGCCTACACACGTGTGATCTCATTCTCTGTGCGGTGTGCATTTTTGAGCAATTTGATCGAACGTAAAGTACCTGGTTGACAGGGTCCCACATCTCCAAGTCTCCTTGTTTCAGCCACGTTCTGAAGTCTTTGGTGGTGTCTCCCCCATCAACATTGAGCTTCTTGTGCTGGACATGTACAAATAGCAACATGGTATTAGCGGACAATGTACGAAAACTACCCCCCCCCCCCCACACACACACGTGTGCACATTACTTTAAGAATGATTTTGCCCTTCAGGTGTGTGGGTGATGGCAGTTGCTCGGCCATGTGCTCCAAGGGCTCAAGAAGCAGTTTGTCTCCAAACACTTCTTTAAAGATGCGGGCCATGTGCCGCTGCTGCTCCAGTGGGCAATGCTCTTCGATTGAGAGAATGACTGGGAACCTGAGAAAAGAGCGTCATGATGGAAAAAAAAGTTGAACATAGTAGAACTCTTGTATTTGGAATGTTTGTGGACAAGGTTGCTGTCATCAGAGCAGGTATCTCACCTGCTTCCCGTTACCCATCTCGAACATTCAATTGCTCTTCTTTGTTTGATCCGTTTGAGGCTGTCACACTTATCTCCTCTGAAGGATTTTTTTTTCAACAAAATACAGTTTCCCCGATTGATGTTATCTTCTTGCTTTTTTAAAGAAAACAGGCGGAAGCGATTGGATTTCATGTTCAATTGATTACAAGCAGGACTCAACACTATGGACCGCAATATCCTCATTTCTTGCCTTGAGCTTTGTGTCTGCATCAGTGGCCGTGCTCTTTAGTGGTTAATACATCCTTCCAATTGAAGGATGTATTAGTTACTTTTGCTGAATATTGTTTGTCTTTCACAAGGTTACATTCTTGGTGCTATCCTCTCGGTCCTATCAAAACTCTTCCCTTGAAAGTTTATAGCAGATTAGACTCGTTCAATGAGGGGAGGGGGGAAACTCACCAACACATTCTTCTAATTTGCTTGGGAAAATGAATGTCCTCCCAACCCCACATTACAAGATGTACTCTACAATTAGAGCAAATCTTTCAAATCATTTCTTAAACCTCACCTGTTCCAAAATGCTTTTAACATCTTTTAATCACTTTTACCCATTTTTGCTTTGTTTTTTTTTACATTTGTTTGTTTTAAAACCTGTATAATTTGCTTTAAAGTTTTCGTTTTTTAATCTGTGTTGCTTGCTCATTTCTTGTTGTTAAGTGTCTTTGAGTACTACAAAAAGCGCTTTCAAAAAAAATGTATTATGATGATGATGATGATTATCATTAATAATCATCATCATCATCATCATCATCATCATAACACAGTAATATAAACAATCCAAACTTGACATGGTGTCCCTAGGGGCGAGCAGGAGTAATGCATACATTTCTCCCGGTCGCTCTTAAATATCTCCACTCTTCGTGACCCTGCAGTTCTCGCTACAATAATATAATAATATTGTTCTTTTTTTTGGGGTGGGGGGGGGATGAGGTGTTCAGTCAGATATCTGTTTTATACATCCTCATCCTGAGGTTCTTTCATTCATGAATGAAAACATTTGACAAAGCCTGTATTTTAATCAAACAAGTTTTGAAATGTTTAATTATAGGATGAGAAATTTCTTCTGTTGTGTCATTTCCACTGAATCACTTGCCTTACTGTATGGCATCAGAGTTGCCCAGTTCACGTGAATGTTTTTTTAACCAAGTGAACGTATGGAATATTTATTAGTTTACATTTTGAGCAAATTATATTTCAAATTTGAAGATTCAATGGCCATTAATTAAAAAAGTGTTTAAAAAAATTTTTTAAAGCAATTGACAGCACTTGACAAATGTCAAAACTGGCAAGTGCAGATTTAAAGTTAATCATTTCCAAATATGAACAGCATTAAGTTTTCTTTGCTAAATTTGAAAATGAAATAGTCCATTTACATCCCTTGGAACATGAATGTTCATCTAAAACGCTGACAACACCAGGTAAAGAAATACAGTAAAAATAATATAGAAGAGTTGAAGTTAGCATGTTAGCTTGGCCCTCAGCCAAGGTCTCAACTGAACTCAATCCAAAACCAAAAATTATATGCATTTAAGCACAAAATGTCTCTCTTCTACTTATAAAGTGTTATCATAATTATAATAATACTTTCTTTGTTGTACTTACTCCGAGGTAACAAATGCATGCTGATTGATGGCTTTAACCACATCTTCAAACTTGATTTTGGTCGTCCTGGTCCAACCATGATAGATGATTGGTTCTCCAGGTCCTTCCCAGCAGTCAACTGTAATCCACACCAAAATCACAAACATGAGAAACACGACTGGGATAGCGAATTTCATGTGGTGGTTGTGTAGGATATACTTACGTTCAACACAACGACATCCCAGGCGCAGACAGCGCACATAAGCCTCTGTGGATGACTCACTACGAAGCTGGTCACCTGTCAGGTAGCTGTAAAAATAAATAAATAAATTAAAAAAAAAAAACAGAATGATGATGTCATTAAAATTATGTTTGTTGTTGGTAAATTACGAAGGGCAGTTAGGTGGTATTTGAGTTCCTATCGCCAATTGTCATTGAACATCTGTTTCCGCAAGGTGGGAGATGCCCCACTACGAAAAATATGCGGTCCTACATTTTTATTTTTTTTTAATTTATTTTTTTTGAGCATGATGTCTCTGATCCACTGGTGAAACACTTTGATCCTCTCCTCTTTCATCTATAACGGCTTCAAACAACAAAGTATGCAGGAAAAGTTTGCACGACTGTCTGTGTCTTATGTGTCTTATGATTTGTGTTATTTTGTTATTTTGACTTCAAGATGGCGCCACGAGAGTGGCTGCCTTTCCAGCAGCTCCTATATTTTGTTCTTCTACTTCTTCCTTTCATAACTTTGCTGCTGTGAATTGGGAAATTCTCCATTGCTAGACTAACAAAGGTTTTATAAAAAAAAAAAAAAAAAAAAAAATCCTCGTCTCACCC